GGGCCAAGGGGACACAAAGCAGCCACTCAGCCCCCCAGTAAATGCCCCTCCAGCTCTGTTCAGGCCCTGCAGAAACCCCACACACAAAGGGGGCATCCTGGGGCAGATGGCAGCTTGGCCAGAGGAAGGCGGGGGCAGCTTGGAGGCAGGAGGAGGCATGGCTGGGGCAACTCTGCACCTCAGCTATTTCCTGGCTGCAGCAAGGCCCAGAGACCATGGCATCTGGGTCACAGGCCTGAGGCTACACTGGTCTGTGCTGGGGGGTCAAAGCTAGAACCAAGGAGGCAACCCCCCTAAGCCCCTGCAGCAGGCCTAGCAGGGTACATGGACAGGCTGAGCTGGGCGCCACTAGCCCCTGTGAACCATTCAAGCCTCTGGGTGATGTTGAACCAGGAACAGAGAGCTGCCCAGCACCATCTCCTAAGCCCAGGATGAATCATAGAATCATAGAATCATAGAATATAAGGGTTGGAAGGGACTCCAGAAGGTCATCTAGTCCAACCCCCTGCTCGAAGCAGGACCAATTCCCAGTTAAATCATCAGGCTGAAGGGCAGGTGTCTCCTCTCTTTCCTGAATGTTCCTGTGGCTCGGTCTCAATGGTCCTCATCTCTGACATCTGGAATTAGCTCTAGAGTTGCCAACTGTCTACTCGCACAAAACTGAACACCCTTGCCACACCCCTCCTCCAAGGCCCGGCCCCTGCCCTGCCCTGCCCTGCCCCTTATCTGAGGCTCCACCCCCTGCTTACTCCTCTCCCCACCTCTCTGTTGCTTGCTCTCTCCATCCTCACTCACTTGCTCATTCTCACTGGGCTGGCTCAGGGGGTTTGGGTATGGGAGGGGGTGAGGACGCTGGCTGGGGGTGTGGGCTCTGGGGTGGGGCTGGGGATGAGGGTTTTGGGGTGCTGAAGGGTGGGATTGAGGGATTCAGAGGGTGGGAGGGGGATCAAGGCTTGGGCAGGGGGCTGGGGCACGGGAGGGGGTGAGGGGTGCAGGCTCTGGGTGGTGTTTACCTCAAGCAGCTCCTGGAAGCAGAAGCATGTCCCTTCTCTGGCTCCTACGCGAGGCGCAGCCAGGTAGTTCTGCACACTGCCCTGTCCATAGGCACCACCCCTCCAGCTCCCATTAGCCATGGTGCAGAGCCCCCTGGCTGCCCCTTCGGAGTGCAAGGGAACATGCCGCTGCTTCTAGGAGCTGTGTGGAGTCACGGCAGGCAGGGAGCCTGCCTTAGCCCTGCTGCGCCACTGACTGGACTTTTAATGGCCTGGTCAGCAGTGCTGACCAGAGCTGCCAGGGTCCCTTTTCAACCAGGCATTCTGGTTGAAAACCGGACCCTGGCAACCTTAAATAGCTCTGTATGAGGGGAAGCATCATCCACCATCTCTCACCAGTATGCAGCTCAGGACAGTGCCCTGGTCTCACTGCTTTCAGGGAAGTGCCCTTTGGAGACAACATTCCCTCTTTGGTCAGCTTGTGGGATGTGGCATGGGGCTGTGTCGGCCTGTGGGACATGGCGTAAGGCTGAGTTGGCCTGCAGGATGCGGCATAGGGCTGAGTTGGCCTGCAGGACGTGGCGTAGGGCTGTGTCAGGCTGCGGGACATGGTGTAAGGCTGAGTTGGCCTGCAGGACGTGGCATAGGGCTGAGTTGGCCTGCAGGACGTGGCGTAGGGCTGTGTCAGGCTGCAGGACATGGTGTAAGGCTGTGTCAGACTGCAGGACGTGTCGTAGGGCTGTGTCAGCCTGCAGGACGTGTCATAGGGCTGAGTCGGCCCGCAGGATGTGGCGTAGGGCTATGTCAGGCTGTGGGACATAGTGCAGGGTTGTGTGAGCCCATGGAACATGGTGTAGGGCTGTGTCGGCCTGCGGAATGTGGCATAAGGCTCAGTCAGTCAGCAGCACATGGTGTCGATCGGAGTCAGGCTGCAGGACGTGGTGCAGGGTTGTGTCAGCCTGCGGGACGTGACGTAGGGCTGTGGTGACCTGCAGGATGTGGCGTCAATCAGTCAGTGTCAGCCTGCGGGACATGGCGTAGGGCTGTGTCAGGCTTTGGGACATGGCGTAAGGCTGAGTAGGCCTCTGGGACACGGCATAAGGCTGAGTCGGCCTGCAGGACGTGGCGTCGGTCGGTGTCAGGCTGCATAGCGTGGCGTAGGGCTGTGTCAAGCTTTGGGACATGGCATGAGGCTGTGTTGATATGGCGTAAGGCTCAGTCAGCCAGCAGGACGTAGTGTCGATCAATGTCAGGCTGTGGGATGTGGTGTAGGACTATGCCAGGCTGCAGGACATGGTTTTAATATGACCCACAGGGAAGCGCTTGTGGTCTGAGCTAGGAATCTGTGTCCTCAGCTGTCTCCCTGCAATGAGCTGTGCTGGAGTACACGGCCCCAGGAGGTCATTCACAGGCTGCAGCGCTGCTGACAGGTTACGAATAAATCTGCCTAAACAGTGGATCATATTTTGGATTCTTGTCAGCTCCAGATGGATTCAGGAGGCTGCATTTCCTTTTGGCCTTTCACCTTCTTCGCTCTAGGCATAGGCTGGGCTCACTCAGAGAGGCCCCAAGCAGTCTGGCCGTTTCTGGCTCAGCAGGCAACTTTCTGACATTCACACCAGACCATGATTTTCCTCTTCTGTACACCCATTGTACAAGGCCGTCATCCGCGTGACTCTCCCTCCCTGAGGGCAGGAACTGGAGGAGCTCAACCACCCCACTGATGACAAAGGAAGGCGGGGGAGGTCGGAGCCAAATGAGGCTCTGTCTGGGGGTAGAGAATCCGCCATGTGGAAACCCAGAGGAAAAAGGCCAGAGCTCTTGCTGACACTGAGGAATGTATCTCATTTTTATCCAGCTCATAATGGAGGAACTTCAGGGCCCTTTCTGGAGAAGCCAGTGAGGTCATTTTAGGAATTTCTCTTTCAGATCTCACCCTTATTCTCTGTGCAACCCCAGGACAGACCCCCCCCCCCCATTTCTGAGCCTAAAATGTTCTGCAGCCTTTGGCCTGGGTTAGTTTGCAGGGCTGGGGCTTCTGCCGGTTGAGTTCACACTGCTCGCTAGGGGCCGCGTGATCTGGTGCACGGGGCAATACTGCAGAGACCCGCGTTCTCAGCCTGGCTTTGCTGCTGGGTGACCTGCTGCAAGTTGCTTTGTCTCTGGCTCTCCTCCCGCTCTTTGTTGGTTCAGACCGTGAGCGTCTCACCCCATGCAGCGCCTGGCACAATAGGGCCCTGGACTCAGCTGCAGCTGTTGTAATACTAGTAACAGAGTAGATTGTGAGGCTCTTGCCCATATCGGCTTGTTCACAGTCCAATGTTCCTCTTGATTGTCCTCCTCCCGAATGTATTTTCTCCCCCTTGGACCCCATGCCATCCTCCAGCTAGCACAGAGTCCTGCAGTGCGTCTCCTCAGCCACATGGGCTATCTCAATCCTGTGCTTCTTACATCAGCTTCCCACAGAACAGCAAGTCAAGTTCAAGGTCTCAGTCCCTACCTTCAAGGCACTACAGGGCCTGGGACCAGCATATCCACAAGAGCTGAGAGCTCTGGGATGAAGACAGCGCAGGATGGCTCTGCTACTTTGGTCCCACAGAACTTTCTGCCCCAAGGGGGAAGCTTGAATGCTCTCGGGGGCCAGCCCAAGACTCTGGAATGAACTCCCAGAGGAGAGAAACCTCCCCACCTCCTGGTCTGAACACCAGCCACGCCTCTCTGACCGGCCTTCTCTGACACACGTACAGCAGCATGGACACATTGAAACAAAGACCTACCAGAACAACCCACTCCACCTCCCTCCTGCTATCCACATGGGGAGGGGACGAACTACATGGGACAGAGATTAGTCATGTCACGTAGTGCACAACTGGAAGGCGCTCAGATACCACAGGGATGGGGTGGGATGAGAATATGCCTTGACGTGAGTAAAATCCCCTCTGGGTTAGCACCACCCTGAGACACTGTCACCGTGACTAGCGCCCCAGGCCAAGAAAGTGTGAGCATCCCTGCTCCAGTGCGAGGAAGGATTGGTGAGAAGGGACTGCAGACATGCCAGATCTTGTCCCCAGAGCAAGGAACAGAGCTGGGGTCCGGGGCATGGGCGGTGGGTATAATAGGCCAGGAGGGGCTAAGCCTGCCCTGGTGCAGCCACCACTGACCCTGCCGCCAGACCCCTGGGCCATGGTGGCCCCGACTCTTCCCCTCCCTCCTGGGAGTGGGCTTCCGCCGGAAGATTTTGCTTATTTATCATGCGCCATGCAGGTTCCCAGGCTGCTGAAGAGGCAGTATCTGCTACTCAGCTTCCCGGGTCCCTTGGATTCCCCAGGGAGATTGCTGATGATCCTGGGAAGCTGAGTAGCAGACACCACCTCCACAGCCGCCCTGGAACCTGTATGGCGCATATAAAAGCTCAGCGTTCTCAGCCCGCCACTGCCTGGCTGCTCCTCTCCAGCACTCCACCCCCATAAAAACCACACTGGAGGGAGCAGTCACAGAGAAAATCCTTCCTCCAATCTACACATCCACTGAGGGGCTGGGATAGAGCCCTCTCTGAACAGACACACTGATGGGGGGATGGCCAGGGACAGAGCCCCCTACACAAAAACAGTGGGGGGGCAGCTAGAGTGACAGGTTAGGAGCAGAGCACACCCCAAAGACCAGAGGGGAACCAAAGCTCCCCCAAACGCCCAGCAGGAGGAGACACAGCTCCCCACTCTCACACACATGGAGTGGACAGATCCCTGCGTGGTACTATCCCTAACCCCCCATAATGGCTCTGGACAACCCCGCCCCAGGGTCAATGCATGCCCCGGCTTTGGGCCCCACTCACCTCCCATCTGCCCCAAGGCAGCAGCTCCCTTCCGGGAAGGGCTCGCCCGAGGCAATGGCGAGTGTGAGCACTGAAGGGGCAGGTGGTGCGTGCGTGCAGGCATCCAGCCAGAGCGCAGGTTGGGACTGTTGTGTTTGGGGTTGTCTGGGTGAGCGGGGCGGGGAGGGAGTGGGGGCCCCGCTGCCCTGAGGGTCACTGGCCTGGCTGCCCATTGGGGATGAAGGTGAACATAGTAGCACAAACCAGGCAGGTTTGCAATGCACACATTACCATTAATTTGCAAACTGGACACCATTAACTTAGGCTTGAATAGAGACTGGGAGTGGATGGGTACACAAAGTAAAACTATTTCCCCATGTTTATTCCCCCCCTTCCTACTGTTCCTCACACGTTCTTGTCAACTGCTGGAAATGGCCCACCTTGATTATCACTCCAAAAGGTGTTGGTTTTTTTTCTCTCCTGCTGGTAATAGCTTACCTTACCTGTTTCAGAGTAACAGCCGTGTTAGTCTGTATTCGCAAAAAGAAAAGGAGTACTAGTGGCACCTTAGAGACGAACCAATTTATATGAGCATGAGCTTTCGTGAGCTACAGCTCACTTCATCCGATGAAACTGTAGCTCACGAAAGCTTATGCTCAAATAAATTGGTTAGCCTCTAAGGTGCCACTAGTACTCCTTTTCTTTTTACCTTACCTGATCACTCTCATTACAGTGTGTATGGTAACACCCATTGTTTCATGTTCTCTGTGTATATAAAATCTCCCCCCTGTATTTTCCACGGCATGCGTCCCATGAAGTGAGCTGTAGCTCACGAAAGCTTATGCTCAAATAAATTTGTTAGTCTCTAAGGTGCCATAAGTACTCCTTTTCTTTTTGAGGATACAGACTAACAGGCTGCTAATCTGAAAACTATAAATAATGTAACCAGCCCAATATACTAGTACAGCTGTTCATGTTTTAATCCTTGCTAGCAAACAAATGCTGGAACAATCAGCCCTGGGAGGAGAGGAGGGACGCACACAGTGAGCGGAGAGGGGGCCAAGTGGGGAAAGGGGTGGAGCCTGGGGTGGGGCGGGGCCATGGGTGGAAGAGGTGGGATGGGAAGCTAGCCTCCCGGAGTGGAAGCTTCACCTGCCGCCCATGGTCTGGAGGTTAAAGGGCACCTGTCTATGCACCCTACCCTCTCTGCAGTAGACAGACAGATGCTTTTACTGCCTCCTACCCCCTGGTTTGCAGTGTTTGTTTAAAAAGCAGAACATGAACACTTGAACCCAAATCCAAGAGCAAATAAATGCTTTCTTTCTCCTAAGAATCATAGAATCACAGAATATCAAGGTTGGAAGGGACCTCAGGAGGTCATCTAGTCCAACCCCCTGCTCAAAGCAGGACCGATCGCCAATTAAATCATCCCAGCCAGGGCTTTGTCAAGCCTGACCTTAAAAACTTCAAAGGAAGGAGATTCCACCAGCTCCCTAAGTAACGCATTCCAGTGTTTCACCACCCTTTTTTCCTAATATCCAACCTAAATCTCCCCCACTGCAACTTGAGACCATTAGTCCTTGTTCTGTCATCTGCTACCACTGAGAACAGTCTAGAGCCATCCTCTTTGGAACCCCCTTTCAGGTCGTTGAAAGCAGCTATCAAATCGCCCCTCACTCTTCTCTTTTGCAGACTAAACATCCCCAGTTCCCTCAGCCTCTCCTCATAACTCATGTTCCAGTCCCCTAATCATTTTTGTTGCCCTCCGCTGGACTCTTTCCAATTTTTCCACATCCTTCATGTACTGTGGGGCCCAAAACTGGACACAGTACTCCAAATGAGGCCTCACGAATGTGGGGAATAGAGGAAAACGATCACGTCCCTCGATCTGCTGGCAATGCCCCTACTTATACATCCCAAAATGCCATTGGCCTTCTTGGCAACAAGGGCACACCGTTGACTCATATTCAGCTTCTCGTCCACTGTAACCCCTAGGCCCTTTTCTGCAGAACTGCTGCCTAGCCATTTGGTCCCTAGTCTGTAGCGGTGCATTGGATTCTTCTGTCCTAAGTGCAGGACTCTGCACTTGTCCTTGTTGAAGTTTAAGGAGTTAAAAATCAGCACTATAAGATCCTTGGTTCTTTTACTTTAAAATATCTGGAATGTCAAGTCTGTTTCACCCTGCTTTTCTGGAGGCCTTGTTGGAGTTTCCAACGTATACTGCAAATCTTCACCCAGGGGCCAGTGTTGGTGAAACTTTCACTGAGGCTTTCTTTTCCCCAAGCATTTGTTAAGCATTGGAGTCAAGTCCCTCCCTTCTCCACTAGAGACCTCGCCCCTGTCAGAGAGGCTTCAGGAATGCCCAGTGGTGCTGGAACTCACTCACCTTTCCAGCTGGAAGGCTCTGGAGACTCGTTGCTTTGGTTTTCACTCCTGATTGTTTCCAGACACTCAGCCTCTCGTTCCTGTAAATGCAGAATGATGGAGCACTCCGGGTGGGTCGTCTGCACCTTCAAGAGGAAACGGACAGACACCAGAACACAGGGTGTTAAAGGGCTTTCACTCTTAACACACCTGTGCCTTCTGTTCAAGGACAAAATATTCCTGTGTGTCATATTTCCGCTAGCCCCAGCCCCAGGCAGTCCTCGCGGTGCACCTGTTAGCCCTGATTTTGTCATACGCTTTACGGTTTTTGCCTGGTGAACACAGTTAACAAACATGGCAAACATGGCAATCATCATTTACAATCCTCTCTGACAGGTTTCAGAGTGGTAGCCGTGTTAGTCTGTATCAGCAAAAAGAACGAGGAGTCCTTGTGGCACCTTGAGACTAACAAATTTATTTGAGCATAAGCTTTCGTGGGCTAAAACCCACTTCATTGAATACATGCAGTGGAAAATACAGTAGGAAGATGTATATATATATACACAGAGAACATGAAAAAATGGGTGTTGCCATGCACACTATAATGAGAGTGATCAATTAAGGTGAGCTATTATCAGCACTGTGTTTAAGAAGTCTCCTCTGAGAGCCATGGTGCCATACAGACGAACTGTGCTTTCAATATGGAGCCATTTGAGCCCCTTACCGGGGGGACGGGGGTGGGGGGGATGGACAGACAGCAAAGTATTTGAAACAGAACAAGAGAACAAAATGTATTAGAGACAGAAAAAACTATTAGGACATGTCTCTTGCACTCCTCTGTCAGCCAGGACAGGGTTGTTCCCTGCAATAGATTTCCTAGTTCTTGGTCCTGTCCATTTTAACAGATTTGAAGAGGAGACACCTGGGTGGTTGTAGGAAGGCAAAACCTTTCTCTTATTCCAAGACAAACCAGTGGGAAAGTGTCTCTGCAGTGCAGGCACAGGGGATTCATTAAAGTTTCAGCCTCTGTCATCTGGACAAGTGCTGAATGTACAGGATAGTGAGACATCTGGGAGAGAACGCTCAGACACATTTGGATTTCAGGATCATTCCAGGAAAGTCCATTGCTGGCACATTTTTTTAAAGGACAGGAAGGTTATAAACCTTTAATGAGATTGTACAGTTACATAGCCTCCCACATCCCTAAGCCTCCCAAAGCAATTCACAAAATCTGCTCTGCGCCAAAGGAGAGAACAGTAGGCAGGTTGCGAAGTTAAGCACGCAGAAGATAGGAAATGCCCATTCAACCTCCTTGGGCGCTTGCATCTTTATTAATATGATTGCGCTGATTTTTCCCCATCTATTTTTACAGTGGGAGAACTGAGGTTCAAAAAGAGTAAGGCCAATGTTTGAAAAATGTCCAAGAATTCTGCCCCCCCAACCAAGACACCTCAGGCCCGGTGTTTCAGAGGCACTAAAGCATCCACAGCTCCCATGATGTCAGAGAGGCCAGGGTTCAGTGCTTCGGAAATCAGTCCTTAGGTATCTCAAACTGAGTGCCCAGATTAGCCCTGCCATGCCTCAAATTGAGGGTCAATATGGTACAGAGCATGAGGCACTCAGATACTATGGTAACAGTAATAATAGAAGTACTTGAGATAGATAGATAGATAGATAGATAGATAGATAGATAGATAGATAGATAGATAGATAGATAGTGAATTAGCCCTTGCACTCAGCAGAAACTGAAAGGAAGATGGTCTAAGGCCATATGGACATCTGCTAATTGGTTCTGCAGTGTCACCATTTGACTTTCTCCTGTTCTGTTTCTATAGCTAGTGTGTTGGCCTAGCCATTAGCCACTCACACGGCAGCACAGGCGGTCAATAAGGTCAATTATTTCACCTCTTCAAGTAGTATTCATTTCTTTTGAGTTTTACACAGGAACATGTGCATTGCAAGACTGGATCTGAGCCGAGGTCCACCCAGTCCAGTATGCTGTCTCTTGACAGCACCAGCAGCAGATGCTTCAGAGGAAGGTGTTGGAGATCCCTCCCTAGCACATGTGGGATAATCTGCCCCCAGGAAGATCTCATCATAATCCCTAACAATTAGAAACAATTAGAAATTTCATTAATGACTTTTAAAAGGAAAAAGGAAACTGTGCAAAAAGTGGAAACATGGCCAAATTGATAAGGAGGGGTATAAAAGAACAGCACCAGTATGTAGGGACAAAATCAGACAGGCTAAGGCACAAAATGAGTTACACCCAGCCAGGAACATAAAAGGCAACAAGAAGAGGTTCTTTAAATACATTAGGAGCAAGAGAAAGACAAAGGAAAATGTAGGTCCTCTACTTAGGAAAACTAATAATTGACATCAAGAAGGCTGAGGTGCTTAATGCCTATTCTGCTTCAGGCTTCACTAAAAAGTTAATTGTGACCAGATACTCAACACAATTAATATTGACAGGTTTCAGAGTAGCAGCTGTGTTAGTCTGTATCCGCAAAAAGAACAGGAGTATTTGTGGCACCTTAGAGACTCACAAATTTATTTATTAAAAATTAATATTGACAACCAAGGGGAAGGAATGCAAGCCAAAATACGTAAAGAACAGGTTAAAGAATATTTGGATAAGTGGGATGTATTCAAGTCAGCAGGACCTGATGAAATTAATCCTAGGTTACTTCAGAAACTAGCCAAAGCAAATCTCGGAGCCTTTAGCAATTATCTTTGAGAAGTCCTGGAGGATGGGAGAGGTCTCAGAAGACTAGAGAAGCGCAAACATGGCGCAAATTATTAAACAATCAATTTGTAAGAACCTGGAGGATAATACAGTTATAAGGAACACCCAGCATAGATTTATCAAACCAACTTAATTTCCTTCTTTGATAGGATCAATGACCTAGTGGGGGGGGGGGAAGCAGTAGCCGTGATATACCTTGATTTTAGTGCCGCTTTTGACACAGTTCCGCATGACGGTCTCATAAGTAAACTAGGGAGATGTGGTCTCGATGAAATTACTATAAGTTGGGTGCCCAACTGGTTGAAAGAACATACTCAAAGAGTAGTTTTCAGAGTAACAGCCGTGTTAGTCTGTATTTGCAAAAAGAAAAGGAGTACTTGTGGCACCTTAGAGACGAACCAATTTATTTGAGCATAAGCTTTCGTGAGCTACAGCTCACTTCATCGGATGCATACTGTGGAAACTGCAGAAGACGTTATATACACAGAGACCATGAAACAATACCTCCTCCCACCCCACTCTCCTGCTGGTAATTAAGGAGAGTGATCACTTTAGATAAGCTATTACCAGCAGGAGAGTGGGGTGGGAGGAGGTATTGTTTCATGGTCTCTGTGTATATAACGTCTTCTGCAGTTTCCACAGTATGCATCCGATGAAGTGAGCTGTAGCTCACGAAAGCTTATGCTCAAATAAATTGGTTCGTCTCTAAGGTGCCACAAGTACTCAAGAGTAGTTACCAATGGTTTGCTATCAAATTGGGAGGGTGTATCTAATGGGGTCCCGGGGTGGGGGTGTCAGTCCCTGACAGGTCAGTCCGGTACTATTTAATATTTTCATTAATGACTTGGATAATGGAGTGGAGAATATGCTTATAAAATCTGCAGATGACACCAAGCTGGGAGGGGTCGCAAGCACTTTGGAGGACAGGTTTAGAATTCAAAATGACCTTGACAAATTGGAGAATTGGTCTGAATTCAGCAAGATGAAATTCAATAAAGACAAGGGGAAAGTACTTGACTTAGTAAGGAAAAACCACATGCACAACAGCAAACTGGGGAATAACTGAGTAGGTGGTAGTAGTGCTGGAGAGGGTCAGGGGCTTGTGGTGGACCACAAACTGAATGCAAGTCGTCAAAGTGATACAGCTGCAAAAAAGACGAATACAATTCTGAGATGTATTAACAGGAGTGTTGTATGTAAGACACAGAAGGTAATTCTGTCACTCTACTCGGCACTGGTGAGGCCCCAGCTGGAGTACTGCATCCAGTTCTGGGCACTACGCTTTAGGAAAGATGTGGACAAATTGGAGAGAGTTCAGAGGAGAGCAACAAAAATGATCAAAGGTTTAGCAAACCTGACCTCTGAGGAAAGGTTGAGAAAACTGGGCATGTTTTGTCCTGAGAAAAAAAGACTGAGGAGGGACCTGATAACAGTCTGCCAATGTGTTAAGGGCTGTTATAAGTAGGATGGTGATCATAGAATCATAGAATCATAGAATCATAGAATATAAGGGTTGGAAGGGACCCCAGAAGGTCATCTAGTCCAACCCCCTGCTCAAAGCAGGACCAATTCCCAGTTAAATCATCCCAGCCAGGGCTTTGTCAAGCCTGACCTTAAAAACCTCTAAGGAAGGAGATTCTACCACCTCCCTAGGTAACGCATTCCAGTGTTTCACCACCCTCATAGTGAAAAAGTTTTTCCTAATATCCAATCTAAACCTCCCCCACTGTAACTTGAGACCATTACTCCTCGTTCTGTCTTCTGATACCATTGAGAACAGTCTAGAGCCATCCTCTTTGGAACCCCCTTTCAGGTAGTTGAAAACAGCTATCAAATCCCCCCTCATTCTTCTCTTCTGCAGGCTAAACAATCCCAGTTCCCTCAGCCTCTCCTCATAACTCATATGTTCCAGACCCCTAATCATTTTTGTTGCCCTTCGCTGGACTCTCTCCAATTTATCCACATCAATTGTTCTCCATCTCCACTGAAGGTAGGACAAGACATAATGCAGAAAGGGAGGTGTAGGTTAGCTATTAGGGAAAACGTTGTAACTAGGACCACCAAGGGAGATCGTGTACTCCCAACTATTGGAAGCAAGCTGGGCAAATCCCTGTCAGGGATGGTTGAGGTTTAGCTGGTTCTGCCACAGCACTGGGGGCTGGACTTGACCTCTCAAAGTGCCTTCCAGCCTGACATTTCTATGATTCTATGAGATCTTAGAGCAGGAGTCTTTAGCTCCCTGCGGATGCTCTGTGCTAGCACTAACTGCAATAACACAGGAGAGCTCAGGGATCCATAGACATGTCCAATCCCTCTTTGAATCCTGCTAAGCAGGTTTTCGTACAGCATTTCAGACATTCCAAACGTTTCCCAGCAGGGGGTACCCAGGGACACTGAATC